GGGTGTCAATGGCACCTCAGAACCTCCCTCCCACCTGGCTCTACCCTTGAAGAAGGAGTGAATAGTGGAAAGTCTAAGAATGATGGCTAGGCAGAAGGTTGGGGTCAGGAGAATAACATATTTCCTCTCTTGCCCTTTTTTTTTGCATCCAACTGGTATCAACCTCTTAGCCTACATTTTCTTAAATGCTATTCAGATTTCCATGAATTTGTTTCTTCAAGTTACATTTGAACCAGTATTAAGTGGCAGTGTATTAAGGGGTCACCTGTGTTATTTGGTGAAAGTCCCAAATTTTTTTTCCTATAGTTACTGTCATTTTATCCTCTATTTGGCATTCAACTCTATTAAACAGTTGTGGTCACCCTTTACATAGTAAAATCTGTTTGTATTGTCTTCCACCTGTATTGAACAGGCACGTAATGAGGAACCATGCAAATGAAACTAAGAATAATCTTTCAAATAAAATTTAATCCATGTTTCTCTTCTGAAATCAATTTTAGTAGTTTTTTTTAGCAAGTTTTTGTACAGTAAGAGGTCAAGTAGAGCGTATAATGGGTTTTTTATCATTTTTTCTTTTACCCCTATTCTGCAAAACTTGTATTAATCCTTTAGCTCCTAAGAGAATTTGGTTTTGAATCATAGTGTCCTCAAGCTGATACTTTGTTATTCTCATCACCTGTGTGCTTGATATTGTTCTAATATTGCTAGGAGAAATTACCTTCTCAGCCAATTCTGGGAGTGAAAAGGTTAATAGCATACAGTACCCAATATATTCTTTATTTAAGGTATCTGAGATAGGGCTGTCTAGCTCTCACCAGGTTTTATAGGAATGGATGTTGGAAAACTTTAAGAGTTACCCAAAAACACAATTCAGGGGCATGAATCACTTATCCTTGCTAAAGCAAAGGCTCTAATCAGTGTGGCTTAAACATCCAGTGGAATATTTAGCAGTCAAGTGACCAAATAAATACTTAGACAGCATGCTGACTATAAACTATCATTTTTATTTTGTTAGGGAAGTACAGAAGGCAGTTAACAATGTGCAGTCTCTATACAAGAGGTGGCAAGCCCTATTGGATAATCCTCACACCGTAGGGAAAGATGAATATAATTGGACAACTAATGAACTGCGCAACAATGTGCGGAGTATTGAATGGGATTTAGAAGACCTGGATGAAACAGTGGGTATTGTTGAAGCAAACCCAAGGAAATTCAACATTGATGTTGCTGAAGTTGATCAAAGAAAACAATTTATAAAACAAACTAGAGATACTGTGAATCTCATTAAAGAGCATATGAACAGCCCTTCAGCAAAAGCAAAGGTGGAGAATTCATCAAGAGAGGTGAGGGACCAGTTACATTCTGTTACTGTCAATAGTATATTATGAATATATGAGGGTTTGAGGCTGATGTTACTGACTCTTTGGATACCGGTAATACATTTATGACCTGGCTGAAGAATAAACAAGGCAATCAAATATTCTTTGAAAAATGTTAAATGCTGTGCATTTAATAAATCTTCATTATCAATTTTTATTTCCTCTTCTGTTTACTCTTTTTTTTTTGTTTAATTTTATGATCCCTGAGAGATTAGATATCAATAAAATGATAGTTTGCTTGCCACACTTTGCAGTGCTATGCCCACAGAATGAGACTGCGTTACCTTGAACAGGTCTCAATAAAAAGTTTTGAAAATCACCCTGGGGCTTACACATGTCACTTAAATGTTGGAGATGTCCTCAGATAGTTATCGTATGTTTGTTAAAAAAATTAATTACAAGTTATAAAAGACACAATTTTGAAGAGATGATGTGACCACTTTAAAGGTTTTATTCATGATTATCTATGAAGATTGTTCTTGTGTTTTTGCAAGGCTTTGTTGGGAAGAAGAAATGATAAACCAAAAGACAGATACTCAAGGTTAGATCAAGAAATTGAGAATTCAAATCAAGCATTTATCACAGACCAACAGCAACAACAGGAGGTAATAGAGAGTGCACATTACAATTAATGAAACTTGTCTTCTTCATAACAGTGTAATCTTATACCGTTTTTATAAGGGTTAAATGAATTTTAGAGAGCTTCTGTGCAAGGCTACACTGCACAGATTAGGTACAAATGAAATCTAATGATATATTTAATGGTATGTTGAGCCATAGTTGGAATTTGAAGATTATTGCACAACATGGCATTATTTGCAAATAATTATGTACTAGTTGAGTATTCCTATCTTCTGGGTGAGAAGAATCCTGAGATGGCTATTGTCTGTGACAGTGAATGATGATGTTTTTTAATCTAAGAGGAAGTTTGTTGAAACATGGATCATTATTACTTCTGGGTTCATAATTCCATACAGTTTAAGTCATTATTTTCATTTTCATGAAGTTAATGATTAGAGCTCAAGATGAACAGCTTGACATGGTTGGACACAGCGTTGGAGTGTTGAAAACCATGGGAAAGAAGATTGGTGATGAAATTGAAGACCAAAATCTGTAAGTTTTGTCCCAATACGTAGTAATTGCTCAGCTTAAGGCCCATTCAATGGAGTGTCAAAAGTAATCTGGTATTACTTTACTAGACTGTGTCTGGTTTTGCCTATATGCCACTCCATTGAAATGCAGTAGATTCAAGGTGCTGAATATTTTTTGAATTAGAGAAAATTATTGTACAGACAATAAAATATATGAGCATTAAAGCCCCATTCAGTTCTGATTTTATAATTGAATGCTCTGTTCAGTGAGCCACAGAAACTTATTGGTAAGCATCAGGTTAACACAAATTTATGTGATAATAAGAGACTATGGTTCTGGTAGTTATTGTTGTAAAGCATAGTGGTTAGTATTCATGTCTTGAAGCCAAAAGTTCTCTGTCTTGAAGCATTAAGTATCTTTCAAATTGACCCTCCTTTTTGGTTCATAGTTTCTGTGTTGAAAAATTTGTTTGCATTTCCACAAATGTCCATTTTTAGTCTTATTTCTTATCCCCATTATCTAATCATAAAATAATATTTTCGTTGTCTTTTTTTTCAAGGCTCTTAGATGATTTTGGACATGAATTAGAAATGACAGACTCCAAACTACAACAAACTGTTCTTAAAGTAGAAAAAGTTTTAAGATTATCTGATGGTAAGCAACACTCACCTGCTAGTTGTAGACTGACATAATATTCAGTCATTTCGAGTAGTGGAGCTGAGGTCACATTTTTTTTGCAATTAAAAGCAAACATGACCACAACACCATTCTTATGTCATTTAATTTCCCATTCCTTTCTATAGTGACACCACCCGCAAGATTCTAGCAGCCACTTTGTCACTGGCATTCCTTTTATTTCCTCCACAATTTAAAAGTTGTCAGTGTCACATGGGATAATTTGCCCTAATGTACAAAAGACAGAGAATAGCTTTCCCCTTTTGACATTTGGCAGAGAATCCCAACCAATAACCTCCTTTATAATAGAGCATTGAAATCTCAATGATAATATTCCCACAAGTTTTCTTGGATTTATTCAATGACTAGAGTATTTAGTTATTACTCGCTGTGCAAAGAATGGTACTCCAATACTGTAATTGGAAAACTTGTGTCCTGCATGTCATGTATATGAAGGAGTGGAGGAGAGGAGAATGAAAGATCGTTGGGATTTGGGATTTTTGTGCTGTTCTGGTGGACATGAAAAAAAATTCCGCCCTTGCAGGCATTTCCTTTGGAATTCAAACAGTTACTCTCAACCTTCAAATGTAAGCCACCATGGAGGCATGAATGCTGACCATGCAGACTGCAGCACTTCTTACTCTTCTTGGTTTTGATGCTTTCTAAGCCTGAACTTTTTATATTATTGTTTGATTGCAGATAAGAGGCAAACCTGTGTACTGGTAGCTCTAATAGTAATTATGATAGTAGTCATCATTTTATTTGTTGCATTGTGAGGATTGCAAAAAAGATGCAGACAAAAATGTAGAATAGACTTCCAGTTTTCTGGAGTTTGTAGGAGAAAGGCTATAACACACATAACCCTTTACACCCTAACATTGGCAATAATATTCTACACACTTTTCCTTTTACATTTCCTCTGCTACTTACAAGGAGAATTTATCTGACAATCAGGAACCTTAAATTGGTGATCATTTCCTTTGTTCTCATGACCTTAATGTTTGATTCAAGGGTGATGCTTTAAGGAGAAATTCTAAGCCAATCAGTCTTAGGGATTAAAGGGTTACATTTATTTGTTGATGTTTATTTTGTGGTTTAAGTTCCTTCCTTGTTAAATTTTTATTTTTCTTTCTTTCTGTATATGCTCAAGTAATGGGCACAAAAAGTTAAAATATGTACATTACTTATTTATCAGAATGATGTATAAGTTACATAAATATCGAGTAGATACTTTTTTATTATTTTGCAAAAAAAAATTGGCAATGATTGGTTTTTCATGGTCTCAAACTTGTACAATGAGTCACTTTTTTTGCAGTGTTTTTGCTATATTTTGGCATGTTGATGGAACCTAAAATCCTGAAAAGTGATATCACTCAGAGGGTCTTTGTCATGACAATTCTTCTTATGCTTTCAGGTGAAAGTGTGATATAATTGTTTGTTATGATGGATTACAATCAAAGGGGCTTTAAATAAAAAACTAACAAAATGGCAAAAGTCAGTGAAGGGGGGGGTGGGGGTGGGGGGAGGAGGAGATGAACAGGAGTTAAAATTGAAGAAATGGAGCTGTCAAGGACACTTTGGGAATTCAGTGGTGTTCCTAAAACTTGTTAAGTTGAGAAGAGATGTGGCAGAAAGAGATATAAAAAAATTTGAGTTAAAACATTATTTCTTACTGTGCAAACTTATCTGGTGAATGGAAGGGTGAGGTACAAACAAGTTATCTCTTTTGCAACAAGATATCTCTAAGAGAAGGGAATCATCAAACTTATGTCTACTCAACACTCACAAAAAAATGATATCCTTCGTAGTTACACCAAGAAAGACAAGGATGAATTTAGACAGTTTACTTTCTATTCTTCTTTAGTAAAGGTGCTTGAAAATGACAGTCATAATATGTAGAGGACCAAAGAAATGAGAAGGATGTTGATTTGTATCTATTTTCTTTCATATAATAAAAATGAATTTATCATCTTGATGTCTTAATCTCTGCTAGTCCTATGTCAAGGGTGTTATTGATCACTCTGGATGAAACCCCTAAGGAAGCTTCAGTCTGGGGTGGAATAGAAAAATAATGAAACAATTTAATTACAGAAGAGATGAACTTATGGTTTCATATTGATCGTTTAAAATGATTTTTTATTTTATTTCTAAGCACCGCAAGTTTTGTTCGTTTTTTAAATGGCGTTGAACAGATATCCAATTATTGTCTCACGAGTTATGCGGCACCACATCCTCTCGTGGTACCCTCTTCTTGGGCTTCGTGTGCTAGTAACTCGGAAACAAGTAGAGTGATCCCCAATTTTTATTATAAACTATTTATACAATAATTGTAATAAATCTTAAGAGCTGGTTCAGAGCCACCTTTAATCATGAAAAAAATAATAATTACCTTTAAACCAACCACTAAACATATGGTAAAACTTCGTAGAGGGATGAATTTTATGTGACAAATAGGGGTCACTGAAGTTGTACTTAAGTTACAGGTGTTCGAAGCAAGAAATCAGCATATTTTTTTTTTTTGGGGGGGGGGGGTGTAGTTTTGTTATTAATGGCTACTTTTTGTGTTGAAAAAAAGACCCTTTAAAGTTGATTAATGATGACTGATGCCAACATCGAAGATTCAAACAAACAGTTGTGGCTGTATCGATACATAAATGAATATTTGGTTAAAAAAAAATGGAAACCTTTCTCAGTTTCATTTATACGTGACTGTAGAAGGAAGGGTGAAATTGCTGACTTATTCCTAAAGATGCCTTTATTCCGTAAGTAATAAATTATGAATTGCAAATTTAAAGCTTGGCGTCAATTACTATTTGCGCAGAACGCTTTGCTGAGCGAGCTCACGTAATTTCGAGCACGTTCACGCGTCTTGACCGAAGAAAACAAACAGATTCCTTGATCGAGATAACAGTAGCGTAGTCGTTCGAAAAACAGTTTGTTTTGCCATGACACCGCAACGAGGAATGGTTGAGATGATGTCTTTTAAATGGGTAATTAGGAACAAAAATAGTACATCTTTGAATAACCACCAATTCCCTTTTCCGCTTTTTAATTTACCTTAGTTCCGCCGATCTGCGCAAACATCATTTGGCTGTGTTAAAAATTTCAGTCTATACTTGTACGAGGCACTGTAAAACTTGTTTGTACTGTAAGCTTTACGAATAAGACTACAAATTTAAAAGGACATTGATAAAAACAGTCAAATTTGTCATATGTTGTGTTTTTTCATTTGAGAAAGTACTTTTTCGCGTCATATCTTGATATGTTTATCTCAGTGAGTGGCTGAAGAAGTTGAATTACTCTCAATAAATCAAATACTTCTTTTAATCAAATTGGCGACGGCAAACTTCTTTTTTTTTTAGTTTGCGTGCATTTAAGTATGTGTTTTTGGTTACGTAATAATGATGTTTCAGTGTCGAATTCTGACACGTTCCTCACAATTAGTCTCAGAAATATATATATTTTTATAACTCCGGGAAAAAAGAAAAAAACAAGAAAAGACACAATTATTTTGACTGACTGAGGGTGCAAAAACACTTTTATTAAATTTTCCTTCTCGCATAATCTGTTATTTTTTTCATCACGTTTTATTTTGGTTTGTTTTTCCTACATGTTGCTGTAATCGTGGAAAAAAATTGGTAAACTTGCAATAAAATAAATGTGTTTTTACTCAGACTAGCTGAGGCAAACAAGTTTTAAAATATAGCAAGAGTGAACTGACATTTTTGATATTCCTGACACACTTTAATGGAGCAAATCACATCCTACGAAATAAAACTGTAATTAGAGGGTGTGATCCACTTACAGTTTCTACTTATTGTGACCAGTCGATTGTGTATAAAGTCACATTCCGAACTATATTTGTTTAAATCTACTACTTTTTTACTCAATTATTTTCCTTTCCAGTGCCACTATAAAGACGAAAATAGTTATACGTGACGATAAAAATTTTTTTTATACATAAAACTTCTGTGAGGAAATGAAACCAACGCCACAGTAAACATCAGTGTGGACAACATAAATAAGAGGAACGTGACGGGAAATATTTCAGGATGACCATATGTTGTGTTGAGTAGGCGGTATTGTAACTGAACACAACAGAGTGGACATCTCAAAACAATCGGTGTTTCGCTGATGGTTTTGCTAAGAACTGTATTGTGCAATAAAGTTGATATCGCGTTGGATTTCGCCAAGAGAATGGACTGAGTGGAGTTTGTTCCGCCGAACTAGATTACTAATGTGACACGATGTCCTGTGTGGGTTGTAATGGTCTTCCTGGCCAGCAAACGCAAGTTAGGGGCGGAGAAAATTGGTCATTGTCAAGTGATGTTTGTGAGGAGTCTCTCTATGTAATTGTTATGAGAAAAAGAAAGCGAGATAAAAACAAGGACTTAAAGTGAGTCCGATTGCTAAACGTATCTTATTCATAGTATTTCTGAAATACATTCTTAATCAGCGTATGTCAGTTACTTGCAATGATGTATTTTCTCTTAAGAACACGTAAATGAATTAGCCATGAGTTTTCCTCATGCAAGATCGAGAGAGTTTATAAACAACATCTGCCACTATATCAATTCATTTTGCAACCCATCGAAAAGTCACACGTTGACGGAAGAAAATGTAGGAAAATCGAACTCGACTGCATTCTTTCGATGGACTAGCAAAAACATTAAATCATTATCAGCAAAAGATTAAGTGTACAGGGCAACAAGATGCCTAAAAGCCCAGAGAAAATATTGCTTCTAGTCTCCGCCTTTAGGGCTGTGAACGCGAACTAAATGCCCACGGGCTTTTCAAGCTTATTTAACTTAACTTCTAGAATCTACTCCGATCAAGGAAAAAAAAAAAACAGCGATTACAAATAAGGGGGAAAAATGCTTATTTAAGAATCCAATATCTTCGGTGTATTGTCAAAATTATTGTCAAAATTATTCCCAAATTTCAGTAAAGAAATCGCGAGTCGTTTCTTTCTAAAAAGTACCTTCTGAAACAAGTACATGGCAGAAAGAGATTATCAAAGTATTATTGAATTTTCTTGCGTTTTTTGGATCGTTCGTGGGCTATTAAAATGACAGCCTTAAAGAGGAGAGAATCTGCGATTAATCTTGTTATTATGACGATCAGCTCGTTGACCGACTAGTGGGGATGTATGTAAATCACCTACTCCCAAAAATAGATCGGAAGTTCGGCGTGATTGGTTAGTTTTGAATAAGTGCTCTTTTATTGGTGAAAATGACGTCAAATGCATTCTTAGTAGTTCTTACAACGAATTTTTTGTCTCGAATATCACTCGTTGCTACCCGGTTGATCACAAGATATGAGATACGGATCGGACCGTAAAGATTTATATGAAGTCTCCGGGCGCTGATCACGATTTTCACACTTGAAAATGGGAGATATGAAAGCTAAAGAAAACACTCACAAACCACTCGAGGAAGTTGTCCTGTCAACTTCTTGTCAGCTGAACAGAAAGCGATTTTCAGGGGCCCAGAGTTTTGATGTGCCATCGAGAAATTATGTGACTAAGAAACCTAACCTTTACTTGACAGAGAAAAGAAGTCCCAGTTTCCGTTCAATGCACGGCGACTCAAACGGATTGTCAAAGAGTATGGTCGATTTGCCGTCACGAAATCTGAACGGTTTTCGAAAGAGCGTCATGTTCGAAGAGGATATTTTTGCTCACAAGGAGATGTTGCAACGGGCTCGGAATCGCTTTAAGGAACTAGAACTGAAGTATCCTGAAATTTTCAAGAACTCTTCCAGAACGTCTTCGTTTTCTTCATCTGGTTCAAATCAGCCTAATGGAAGCATCGATCGCTCTCAATCGCTCGACCCGAAATCAGTTGAGCATCAAGAAATACAAACAACGAAATCAGATATATTACAAGTGCTTCGAAGTGGAACAAACGATCAGAGTTCCACTGTTGTTGCCACCACATCAAGACGGAGGCCTCCTCCTCTTTCGGTAGCTATGAAACTGCATAACCTCGAGGATAGTTGCGATAGTGCGTTTGATGATATCGACCGCGAGTCGGTACATTCAAAAACGTCCCATGAACCGACGCCGACCTCAATTAGCAAAAATCACTTTCTTTACCCAGGAGAGAGCATGGAGTCAGACAAGGACAGTGGAATATCTACAGATCGTCCATGTACTCCAAATTCAAGGTCTTCCAGGCCTACAAGATGGGAAGATCCACAACAAAGCGGCCAACAATCTTATCCGTCTACTCGATCGAAGTCACTGAGTTTGACAGCCTTGCCGTTGACAAATTCTCTGGAGTATGCTAGCTTCGACTCTGAGAGTCAGAGGAGTCGAAGTGTGGATCGACGAGGAATTCTTAAATCTGTGGCCTACAGAAATCAGGAAATTAAGACGGAAAGCTTTGATATCGCACCAAGTTCAAGCAATTCTTCTCTAAACTGTCAACGGAGTCGAAGCGGATCTTTGACTGAAGGTGTGAGAAGAGGTAAGTTCCAACACGACATGATGATTTCTGGACCCAATCTTTGCACCTCTTTTCCTTTTTAAATAATTTTCTACATGTGTTTATTTATTTACATGGTGTTGATTAAGGGGTTTTGATTTTTTTATTTTTTTCAGAAAACCCTTTTAGTTTCCTGTTGAACGATCAATGAGATTAATCTTTGAATATTTCATAAGTTACAGCTAGCGAATTATTGCTACCTTTGAGGCATGAAATGTATGCAAGTAGTTTGAACCTCTTGGGGTATTGATTTTCATTTAAGCGAGTTTTGTTACACTTTTTCTAAAGGAAAAATGTTGTCCTCTTTTTATTCAATACATATGTATTTTAACTAATTCTGAGATGCAAACAATGAATTAATATTGCACAGGATGAAACTGATTCGAACCTTGCCGATCTCAAACCTATTTTCGGTTGGGGTGCTATTTTGAATTTTTGTTTTGCGAGGCGGTGAAAGTAACATAAATTTAAATGTTATTTGGAGTTGAGTTTTCACTTGGGGGCGTCCGAAAGTCAGGAAGTAGTGGTAGTAGATATGTCTTCCATAATTTAATGACCACGAAATTTACGCACTTCTCTAGTCAAGGTCACCTAATGCTATAAAAGAAGGTCACATTTTCTCGGTCTAATGTTGTTGTTGAGCGCCAGACGTATTGTTCGATTTTTATTTTACTTTTGGTGTTTTAAATAATTTTCAGAAATGATTTGCTCGCCATTTTTATTTTGCCTTGGGCCATTTCCGAATGCTCGTTTCCGTCGAATGACGCAAAAACTATATGTAATATGTTTTCGATTAAGATCTCCGTCTAAAAATAGTCTTCTAATCCAGAAATAAGTGAACACATTTGATTGAATTGGTTGGATTCAGGTGTCGGTGATTTAAGAATACCCAGAGAAATAAGAGTTGGTAGCATATTATATAAGTTAAATTTTTTTTGCGCTTTCGTGTCTTGCAAAATAGAGCAATATTTCCATTTTGCCCTATCGCTTACTTATTTATTATCCTATATTTGTTCAATGTTTGGTTAAAAGGCTGATCAAAATTGATTGCTACTGGAAAAAGTGCCGATTTATGGCCGAGTAAGGAGTACATGTTATTTGTTCGATAATGGTTACATTAAAGCGATAGGAGATAATTTGTTACTGTGGGTAGCGCATTTGTTTACACTCTGTCGGCCTTTTAACAGGTAGCGTTGAAAGTAGACTGCGCGCGAAGATTTATTTTGCAAATTTTGCTAAAAATCAGGGGATGGGTGATATTTTTTTTCATTCATCATTCTCTTAACCAATAAATTATTTTCGCACCGTGGATGTGTGACAAGGAATCATTTTGCAACAGAAAGCCAGACAGCCGACTTTTTGAATTAATACCAACGCGATCTTTTGTTGCAATGTTTCAGAAAGACAATTTAGTCGAAGCTCAAACAATAACTAGTTAATATGAATGATCGTTTTTTACATTTATAAATTTATTTTTTGCTCTTTGTATCTACATGCAGTTAGTAGGAGTCGTAAAAATACATTTACTCAGTCAAATACTCTTTTTCTTAAATTATGTGACATACTCTCCAGAATAAAGAAAAAAAAATTTGTAAAACTATTCATTAAAATTTTTACTTATTGGAATATTATATTTTGTCATAAAATGATTTGGAAACAAGTTTGAGAGTATATTGACCATTCATTTTCCTTGCTTTGAAAATCATTGTTACCATGTTTTTTAAATATATGTAATAGAAAAAAAAAAGATTTCCTTTGTATTTTCTTTCTTTTTTTGTTGATTTTGGTAAGATTAAAGGCTGTTGCTATTTTGCCTGCCAGCATGTACATGAAATATACCGTTTTTTTTTAAATTTGGTAATAATGGCAACTGTGCAGTAACAATGTAATTTCTTTGTTGAAAGTATCAAAAGGAAAAAAGCTTACTTCAAGCCTGAAGAATCAGAAGAAATTTAAATATTTTGTTCATTTGATTATTTTTTTTTTTGCTATTCATGGATGTTTATGAATATAAGCACAATATCACAAGATTATAGAGATTAAATTATCTTATACAAATTAACAATTTTCTTAAAATAAACACAGCAATCCTGGAAGGATATCAGGAGTTGCCAACTAATGTGATAAATGTTGGGAGAGAAATTTACTTTTTCATTTATTGACTAGCTGTTTTAGAACACATTGTTCTATGTTCTATGTTGGCATGTTTGAGAATCAAAGCTAGCAATTAGTGGCTGTTTATAGACATATAAGAAAGGTATTTTCATGTATTACCTTGTGACATGTCATCAAGTTCTGCTTGGGTGCAATACTTTCAAGCTGCCAAATATTTCCTTCCTGATAAATATTTCCTGTTCATGTGCCTAGTTGTATGTAAATAAACAATTACTCTTTGGCACATTTTCTTTGGATATATTTAGTAACAAGGGCTGTAATGTTTGAAATAATGTCTTCACTTGACCTTGGAACTTGATGTGCTAAATTGAATTTTGCATGATTTTAGATGGAATTTGTTTTTAATGTTTGTGTGTGTGCTAAACAAATGAGTTCGGCTGAATTTTTTTTTCAGTGTAAAGCAGCAAAATGTATTGCAGTTTTTATGTTTATTCTAGACCACAAAGCACTTTCACTCCTGAGACCTGAGAGGGAATTTCTCTTACTGTCGTGACAATGCATTTTGTTGCTGGCTCTTACAAAGAGATTTGGGTGACATCAACATAGTATCCACTTGATGATAATTTTCTCAATTCTCATCTTCTGTCTACCTGGTGGTCTAGTAACATTGTGTAAAGAATTTGTTTTCAGATCACAGATTGCCTTTCCTAATTTTGTTTTTTTGTTGTATTTTCACAGGTTCAAGCATTTATCGCAGGAACATCTTTTTGCAAAGTCGCAGTTTTAGTGGGAGCCAAGATGAGACAGATTCTGATGCAGAGACAGTGTGTAGTGTTCAAAGTGAGTATATTTTGCGGCCCCACATGTCAGCGCGTGACAGATATTTCAGCACATATCAGCTCAATACCATTTCTGAAGGAGAACCTAGAGACTTGATCAGAACCCAGAAATGGAGAAGCATGCCTGAGCTAGGTAGAAGTCACAGTCTTGGAAATGTGTCTTTCTATGGAGACTCTTTAGCTGCCGGTTTTGATGAAGATAGGAAGAAAAAGAAGAAACGAAAGTTTGGTCGCCGATCTGGTCTATATGTTGTAAATGACATGCCAGTGAGTGAAAAACCCAGGTTGTCCATTGACAAAGGCAAGAGTAAAACAAAAAGTTCATCAATATTCCTTAAGAATAAGTCAAAGAAAGAATCTTCACACATTAATGAGCTGACAAAGAAATGGTTTGACTCTACAACTGCTGTGAGTCGGCCAACAGGAGGCCAGAGTTTGGGTAGAATAGTAGCCATGCGGGAAGATCTTGGAAGTGCTTATGTCTTGGAATTACATAGGAGTTCTGGAGGATTATTTGGGTTTTTTATTCAAAAGGGTTATCAGCAGTACAAGAAAGGGGTGTTTGTTAGTCGAATAATGGACTGTGCCTCTTCAAAGTTTATGGCTGGTCTGTTAAATCCTGGAGATGAGATCCTTGATATAAATGGAGAAAGTACTGCAAGCAAGACAATGTCAGAAGTACACAATATTCTTGCAAATTCAGACAAACTTGTTTTGACTGTGTTACCATTTCTTGGACGTAAGGATTGGTAACCATTGCAAAGTTCTTTGGAAAATGAAGAACTGAAATTTATCTCTTGCATAACTTATTAACGATTTGTTTTAATGACAGTTTGATGACAGACAACCAAATTGAACTGGTTTGGATACAGTATGACTCTCGTAGTTGTAAATTATTTCACAGTGAGTGTGACAACATACCAAGGTTATTGCATAGATTTTCAGTGTGGGTAACATTTTAGTTGCAAATTAAAAAGGTGGAAAATTCATATTAATGTTAAGATTTTGACCTTGAGTAAATTTTTCAATTAATTTAATTAGGAAAACTTGAGAAAAAATAGGAATGGGCTTGATTGTGTTCCAAATAAGTGCTCTCTAATGGGAGGTCTGTCACAGTTAATGCAATTTTGTTAATTTTTCATAATTTTTTAAAATTGGTCTTTTGCAGATTCCTCACCACAACAATTTTTTCTGTCCTTAATTGTTCTCATTCCTTTGTTATCAAAGTTATGCTTCCCAGTCACAGAGGTCTAATTAGTCCACTGAACTCTGGATTGAAAAGGGTTGAGTTTGAAATTGTGTTTATGTTCTCTACTCTCACACAACCCAGGGCCGAGTTGTTCAAAGCTGGGTTAAGATAACCTGGAGTTAGTGTGAAATTTGATTTTAGATTTGAAAGCTTGAAGAGCCAATTCAGTTTAATTCTTTTTTACTACAATTTGATAATTGAATGCTCTAAAAAAAATGGCTAAAATTATTCCAAAATGGCTTTTGAACAGAGAAATATAGAAACCTGGATTAAAATCTAACCCTGGGTTAGCACTAATTGGCCTCTGAACAACTGGGTCCAGGAGTATATGTTAATAACTGCTGTGTGGCTGGGAGACATAATAAAAATATGAGAGTAACAAGACATCTTGCTCAGCTGGAAGTAGCCATACTGTGGGATAAGCTTTGGCAGGGAAGCCAGGGCCTCTGACTTGAAAGCTAACTTCTGTATTTTGGTGTTTTTCTTTCTTACTAAAGTAATGTTTTGAGGTTTTCCTTTATTTATGTTACAATGGAAAATTTAATGTATCAAGAAATGGTACCTTGGAGGACTAATACCTTTCATTGTAAATATTTATTTATTTTTACAACAAATCATGAATTAATTTATTATAATAAATTACATTTGGAATTTGGAACAGCAAGTAACATTGCTGTTATTTTTTAATGAATGTGTTGTACATAATGTAATCTGGTGAAAAGAGAGAATGCAGTTGCTATCACTCTTTACTTTGCCACAAGCACAAAATGTGGTTGTGTTATTTAAAAGATTTAACTTTATTTATTCTTCTCCATCCAATATTAATGCTTTCAATATTCATGTATATAAAGCAATTTATCAAAGTATTTTTTTGGGCCCATTATTTTTGTTGTGGCTCACTGACAGTTCAGTATTTGAAAAAGTATTGCATGATATTCCAAACATAACCTGAAATTTATGGTAACAGGTACTTACTCACTGTAAATAAAATTGTGGTAGTTTTATTTGTTTGAATGAATGTTGTAATAAGTATCTAATTTATTTCGATGCTGTAACAGCAATTAATGTTTGTTTGCTGTTTTTGGCAAGACAGGATTTCCAGGGGATAAACCTGAAATAAAGTTTGATGACTGACTCAGATATTTAAGTATTGGATTTCTTCATTCAAGGAATGATGCCCATCCTGGTTCTTTGTTTGTTTTCTTTTATGTTTTATTGACTTGTCTATTCACAATGTCAACTAGCATTCCCATCTTGTTGATCTAACTAACCAATAGCAACATCCCATTAAAGAATTTATTTAAAATGCCCGAGTCCTAAAAAGAACAAGATTGTGCATGATCAGAGACCTTAAACCTATGCTGCAACACTGATTACTTTTGATTGATCTTAACTACATTTTAGATAACCCTCCCCCACCACCAATATTCATGAGATGGACATTAAATTTCTTGAATCAAACCAAACTCCCAAGGTTGGATTGTTAATTCTCTCCTCTAGCTGCGACACATTTCCTTGTATATTTGATACAAAAATTTGGTGTTTGATCAATATAATATCACATACCTAATAAGTTTGAGTATTCTCACTACCAGTTTGCTGGATGTATTGATATTATAGGGAGAAGTTACTTGTCAATCACATCTGAGAGTTAAAGGGAAAACCAGGAGTACTGCTACTCCCACATACAAGATACTGGTCAATCACATGTTAGCATCAGGTTTTCCTGATAGTTTGCAAGTACCCAGTTATACTCCTAAGAGCTTAGTTGTTTAAAGAGGTGATAATGCCATCCAATAGAAAAACTGCATTCCAGCAGATAAGAGTGAAAAATGTGGTGCACTACCCACAGCATAGAGATTCATCCAGCCAATAGCATTATCCACCCTTCACATAACCCAGGACTGGTGGAGAGAGGTATATTGGGAGTTAAGTATCTCATCAAAGAACACAACACAATGACCCCTCGCAGACCAAATTACTCAGAGTCTTCTTTCTAGCAGCCCACTGGGCAGACCAAATTAATCAGAGTCTCCTTTCTTGCAGCCCGTTGGGCCAGCCTTTTTCCAATAAAAAATTCCCAGAAGCTAATGAGACTTGTATCTGCATAGGTTCATCTGTGTTGTCTCAGATGTACATGTTTACATTGCTTGTATAACAGCAATATGGAAGTCATTTTCAATGGTTAAGCTGAGATTATCTCTTCGCATCTGCTTGTGGGTAGTTATCATTTGACAGGCTCAACCCTAAAAAAGTCTTGAAAACCATAATTACAATTGTATCAATTTAATTTTTATTTCTGATTACTGGTTAGTGATCTATTGAATTTTTAACATTGTTGTAATTCAGTTATCAGAGTTTATCATATCAGCATTATCTGTTTTTCAAAAATCATACAATAAATATCATGAACACTAAGTAACTTCAGAATTTCTTTTCTCCACAAATGCAAAGGGTAATTGCACATAAGGTACACAATCAGATTGATGACAATAATTTAATTGAAGTGACCTTTCTTTAAATAACAATTGATTGTTGGATTGAAACCTCATAACACTATAAATAAAACAATTCATAACAAATACCATATAACCATGCATGGAATTAATGACCTCTTAGAATAAGGAGCATCAATTAGAAACTGGTACTTACTATGTAAGAAACTTGTATTCTATGTACATGTGGTTTACTATCTTGCTAAAGAATCTGCCACAAAATTTTGTTCATATGTATGATTCATTATGTTTCATAATAAAGAGTTCAGGATGATATTCCTACAATGTCCAAGATGGATTTACCACTAAATGTTTTCAGCCACAGATAATCTTCAAAATGTTTGAAAATTGATGTGAAATTCAACTGTTTATAGAAGTGTGTTTAGTTCTATCCAAATGTTTCTATGGTGAAGGTAGAGACAATTTCCACTTTAAAAATTACTTCCAAATGTTGCTCTGTTGCATGCAGAGTATCCCAACTCATGTAAGAGAGTTATGCCACTACATGCTATTTAAAAAAAATCAAAGAAGAAGAAAAATCCAAACATAGAAAAACAAAACTAAGTGAAGTTGGAGAAGATTACCATAAGTTCAAAAATAAAAGAGAAACAACTTCAATATCTACACCATCTTGTCACTTGTTACTATGTGTTATTAATTGGAAGTTAATTTTTTACAGCTTCAATATTCATCCCTTATAGATTATCTAAGTCTCAAAAACTGATGGGCGCATCATTGAAAATAGTGTCATTCAAGTAATTCTAAATGTATGTAAATTATTTACAGGGTGAAAGTTGTCTTTAGATTTGTATCACACAAATTCACAAGATTTCTACTAGATCTTCTTTAAGCACTAGGGTCACTGCGGTACTGCTTTCCTGTGGCAAAGATCTCTCTTTGGGTATAAATTGGTGATAAAAAATGACCTGAGCCAAATAGGAAATCATTTCAACTTCATTCAGTAGGCATCATCACATCAAATCAAAGTCTCAAATGGTTCAAACACTTGACTGAACTCTGTGGCGGTGTTCTACAATTGAAAGACCTTTTCGTTGGCTTCAAAAGTTCCCATCATATTAGAGGAAACATCCCACAAACTCTCCTTTACTCTAAAGAGGCCAAACCTTAAAACGCACTTCCAATTTTTCAGCATTCTGGAGCCCAAAGGCTGACAGTTCGGTCTGCACTAGAGCTCAGGAAAGCAAGGAGAGTAGGGTGCCAACGACACTGGATGACTTTGTCTCTATGATGAGCCACAACAGAGTAAGGTGGTACTTGTGTCTCTAAGTCTTTTCTTATGTCCATCAAGATTATACTACTGTCATAGGATCCAGTCAAAAGAAAGTTATTATCAGGTGAGAAACGCACTGATCTACAATCCATTGTGTGAGGCTTGAAAAGCTGTAGGGTTCTCCCAGCTGTAATGTCATAGATCATACAGCTTCCATCTTCTTGGCCTGTGTGGTTACAGAGAAAAACAGCAAAAGAAAACCACACATTAGTATAGAACAAAACTGGAGACTGATAAGGTGCTGATATGTACTGCTAGTATGGCAAATTCCATTTAATTCATCATAGCAAAAAAAGGCCTAGTATCAAAACTGTACCAAACTTTGAAGCTAAGCCAGAAAGATAAAACTGCAGTAACACACAGTGCAAGTCTAAAACAAACTCCAATCTTAAACAGGGACTACTGGCTGGTGAAAATTACACCACGCAAAACCCTTAACTTTGATAAGAAAAATTATTTGAGACTAACACAATAAATCATGGTGGTAACATACTCAGTGTTAGTTTAATAAATTTTCATTTGAACTTGTTTCATATTGGTCCCTCCTGCTAACAGCATTTATACTGATGATGGATCTGATGATGACTCCGATGATGACTCCCTCTCAGGTTGTCAAAACATCAGTCACCAACAACAGCCTTCTTCAGGGACACCCTAACCCACCCACACTATTACACTCTTTCACCAAAAATTGTACATCACACAAAAGATTTGTGTCATTTACCTGAAGCTAACATGTTGCCTGACGAGTTTACGCAAACAGAGGCCACACAGCTATCACCAGTTGCTATGGCATCTATACATCTCTGTGACCTCAGATCCCACAACCTTACAGTGTTATCTGCTGACCCTGAGGCTATGATATCATCACTGTCAGCATACACAGCCATGACATGTCCTGAGTGACCTTTGAGTTGTCCTATTGTCTGACCAGTACTACAGTCAGAGATCATAATATTTCCATCTCCTGTTTGATAGAATAAACAAGAAATTCAACGCACTGTGATTTAAGAATGGTGTGGTCTTCCCTAAGTAGATAACATCAGAATAAAGCAAAAGATACCACTTGTGGAGCTAACTCAGGGTAGTTTTCGAAAATTTCCTTTAATCTATTACACCCTTGCTCAAGTATAGTAAGTCTCCATACTGTTCTCACTAAATTTCTAATGGTATCAACAAGGAGAAAATACTTAATGATCAGGAGCTTTTCCTCTATTCTTGTGACTCTAATGTTTCTAAAGTTTAATGATTCAGAAATGACACTGTAAGTATAAATTAGATGGTAATCACTTGTTGGGGCTAAAAGGTTACATAGAGTAATGAGACCCTTAAAAGATAATTTCCTGCAGTTAAACTTTGAAGAGAAAAGGGCAGTTTAGGGTAGAAAACATCAAGCATTTTTGTGTGGTCAATGTGTTTACAAGGTGTCTCTAAGGGGAAGATTTACTTGAAAATAAAGTAAATACCTGCCCCTCCAGACACTAGAACTGGTGTCCCACTGGCTCGGGAAACAAAGGCCAGGTCTCTAACTGTACCATTGTGGATAGCAAGCTCCAGCCCTGGCCAAGTAACAGAGCAAGTTTCAGCATCAAACCTGGTCATCTTGATGCTTTTGTCATTTGATCCTGTAGCTATTATGTCCCCTGTGGCACTCCATGCTACACAATAAATGGAGCCACGGTGATGACGGTTGCTTTTGAAGAGAATGGTTGGTTGTGGAGGTTGGCCACTGCCTTTACTATAGAAAAAAAACTCACCATATTAATAAAGTGTAAAACAAACAGCAGATGAAGTTGGCCATGAATTCACCTCCCAATACTTCAAGGATTTAACTATCTCTAAGT